GGATCCCCACCGGGGGGGGGGGGGGGGAGTCCACACAAAGTCCAAAGAATTTTATGAATCCAAAAATTTTGACAACCAATAAAGTAAGCAACAAAGCTAAAAAAAACTTATTTCGTGAGTTTGTGTGTGTGTGTGTGTTTTTCGTGTTTTTTTTTCGGGGGGGGGGGCGCGGATGTCGTGTAACTTAAAATAGATATATCATAAAATAAACACAATCTCTGGACTTTGACCCCCCCCCCTTTGACTTTGAATGCTCGATGTTTCAATTTGAAAGTAACTTATTGTGTGTCCCATATCCGTTTTAGTGTTGGTGTGCCCTACATCATTTCTGAAAACAAAATGATTTATACCTTTTTCTTGGATAATTAAAGCATAATAAATTATTTTAAAAATTCAGGATTTTTAAAAAATATTAGTTCTAGTGTAAACGCGGAAGAATAAAATGTATAGTACATCTGGACATGCGAATAATTGGTCGAATTTTAAAAATGTGTACCCCACATCCCGGTTTTTTCTCACTTGTTTTCAAACTGTGTCGAAGTGTTTGGAACAATAAGATTCTATCACGAGCAAACGTACATTGTCTATTGTAGTTGACGTTCTTTGGCATACTTTAGGCAGGATACTGATTTAATATTCATTCTTTATAAGTGCAAAAATATCAACTTCTTACATCGAAGCGGGGCATTTGTCCTCCATTTTTGTGTGTCCTAATCCCGTCCGATGACGTAGATTCTCCGCCGTGTATATACTGACAAAACGTCAGAAATACTCAAGCTGTAGAAAGTGAATTAGGAAGTGCCATTAATATCCTAAAATGGTATAAGATGAGGGCTGAGTTCAATCTTCTGTTGAATAAACTACATACATGTACATGAAACAAAATTCATCTATTGAATTTAATTAGAAGAAATATAATTAATCGTACTACTTTTTAAGATGAATTTACGTGACACACTTATTTTAGGAATGTTTTATAGAGCATAGTAACGTTGCCGTTTCTTAATTAATGAAATTATTTTTTGTAGACTTTTGCATGGTATACTGCAAACTATATTAAGTTTTTGTATTTTTTGCCTTGCATTCAATATATGACATCAATCTAAATCGCTTGCTACAAGCCTGTAGAAAAGTTTTTTTTTCAAAAAGGAAAGGGGGCTTCGGGCTCCGAGAAATCCACGTGACTAACTGGTTCATCCATTATGGCCAAAATGTACGATCCTCTCCTACGCCGAACCGTGGCTTGGGACGATGGCCTAGCTGAGCAGCATGCCCTAATGTATAATATATTCCTTATGAATCCAAAAGAATTTCTTATAAAAAAAGGTTCCGTCACTAAAGCTAAAGATAAAACGAGAAATTAACATTGATTTTGTGCTTTTATTTTCCTGTCACTCAAAGTACACATCATTTGCAGGCCCGTGAAAAGCAATTTCAGTTGGGGGGTACAGCCATACATTTTCTGGCCATGCATTGTAGAATTTGTTAACGATGGTATAACCTGCGTCACCTTTCAGAGTCTGCAGTGGACTCGTCCAAGTGTGCTTCATCGGTGATTGTAAAAAGTTACCTGAGATTCCTACGCAAAGGAAAGCGCGAAAATCTCTGTATAGATACTGTTGCGGCTGCGGAGCTTTACTCATTGTTCATTCGCCATAGAATAGAATCCGATATTCAACACTTAATATCTTTGAACATACAGACGTTTTCAAGATAAGCTTCATTTTTGTTTCTAGAAATATCTTCATCTACAAATATGATATATTTGTGTGTTTTTAAACTGAGTAAATCTAGGACCTAGCATCGTTTTAGATAACTCAAGCCCCTCTAGGGCTTGAGTAACTAGTGAAGACACGCGAACTTGAGTTGAGTGAAATCTATATTCATAATATTGATTCCAACCTCATGTTTGCGTAAAATCAAATTAATTGAGCACTCGATCCCGATCAAGCCGAACCCGATCCAAACATGAGTTCGATCCCGATCCAGTCGACCCCACTCTTTTTACATTAAAAATCAATAACAACTGCAATTTTAATCTAAATTTGACAAAAACAATGTAAAAAAGATTGTATATAAATCATTTTATGAGACATAAAATTGTATTAACTTCAAAGGTGAAGTTTGAAGAATTATTGTGGGTAAAAACACGTAACTGAGAATTCCGAGACATTTTTGTGAGCATTTTCAATTAGTCAATGCCTGATTGTCAAAACCTGAGGATCGGAGTACCTTAAAAAATACGTAAAGGACAAACATGTCACTTTTCCTTCACATTCTTGTTTTAACAAGGTATCTTGCAAGATTGGATGTTGCCTTTCTGCTTCATAAGCAATACAGATTAACGCAAGTATGAAACAGAAAGAGAAAACCGATTTTAGTATTTCATCTTAAAGACTGTCCATCACTTTACAGAAATTATTTCATGTTTCCTTCGGAAATGCCGGTGTATTTAGTGTTTTCTACAGCAAAAACATGAACTTTTTCATTATTCAAACTAAGGGATAAATATTTTATTTACGCACTTCCTCATTTACATGAACATACTGCCAAAAATTGAACTCTGTTACTATAATACTTTATGAGCGGGAATATTATATTTTGTCAGCTCAGTGCTTACAGTACTTAAAGTTTTCTTTTGAAAAGACATACCAGAAAGGAAGATATGAATCAAACGGAACCGTACGTAAAAGCAATTCACTAAAGTTTTTGCTTGGAAAACTCATGGTTTGTTCTGTCATAAGGAAGCTTTTTCGATATTTTTCCTTTTGAGAAAAATTTGTCAGTTTTGCTTCAAGAATTAATTGTCTAATATTATTCTTACAAATTGCAATGTAGACAGAAGAAATAGTACTATATACGCTGTCTTTAACCAACCACAGAAACAGCAAGGGCTTTCTAACATTCTTTTTAGGATTTCTGATGAAATGATAAAGACTACTGAGTATTTAGGCAATCAGCCTTTTTTCAAAATTCAAATACTATGAGACAAACCTTTCATTTTACACACAGACAAACGGGCATTCTTATTCAATTTTTCGTTTTTTCCCCCCATGAAATCAATATATTCACCGAATAAATAAAATTCCTATGCAATTATACATTATTTTCACGAATTCCTTGAACTTGTCTCTATATGTACAATATTATGGTCAGATTTCATTCATTGATCTTTGATCTTTTATTTTAAATTTTGACCATAGAATTTTCTACGACCGGGCAAAAATTATTGCTTCATGATATATCTGACCAAAAAAGTACAAATCAGCCGTAGGGTAGGGTGGTACATTATATTAAAATTTTTGATGGTTTTGTCACTCCACTAAATCTAATTGACAAAAGATTATTTTCAAACTACGGATCGGGCACATTTTAAATAGAGGAAGAAACATTCCCAAACCGTGTGAGACAATATACTGTGTACATGTAAAAAGTCCGTGCATGATTATTTACTTGTCTTCTTCTCAACTTGATGTGTGCTGTATTTTATTACTAAGTGTGTAATAAACATAATAAAACATGCCCTTTTCCATATCGTATCCTGTTTCAGCCCTCGACCGTTATGCAAATTATTTTATGTTTCCCACTATCGTTGATGCCCTGGCATAGTCTCCTTACTAGACAGTGATTCCTTAATTAACACATCGACCTTATCATCGTCTGAGAAAGATATACTTTCTTCTCCGCTATCAGAAATGTATTGTATGGGCGGAATATCTTTGTTTGGTTTGACATGAAAAGCATCTCTTAGCATATTCCAGTATAATTTAGTATTGTTAACGCTCGCTTCTGACAACTGAAGGTTTATGTTGTTGACTTGATTTCTAAGTTTTCATCATCAATAGCTTTTACCATATTGTCATATATTTCTATTAACTGGTATACTGTTGAGTGACAAGATAAAAAAGAAGCCTGATATTTATTAAAAAAAGAAGGTTTTTCTCATGAAAATAAAAAAAATAAAAATAAATGTATTTCAACACACCTCTTTCCATTTTTTCCCATCTCAGCTCAACAATATTAATTAATGCCCTGTTCACACGACGAGTTTAATTCGCAGTAAATTAATGCGAAGTAAACTAATGCGAATCAAACCAATGTGAATTAAATTGCGTTCACACGACAGCTAATGCGAAGTAAACTAATGCGAATTAAAATTCTACTTCTACAGCAAGGCGTCAGTAAGGCTATTATGACGTCATTTGCAAATCACGTCACCTTATGCAGGAGCAGATGCATTTGACATAGTGTTACAGTGTCTGTACACATATTTTAGTGATTAACACAATTTTCCTTAGTTTTTCACTCAAAAATAGCACAAATACTTCAATTTGACAACGGACATGTGGCATTTGACCTAATTTTGCCATTACGCATGCCTCAAAATTTAATTCGAATTAGCTTCGCTTAGCGTTCACACGGAGCTAATGCGAAGTAATTTAATGCGCAGTAAACTAATTCGAATTAAACTAATTCGCATTAAATTCTCCGTGTGAACGCTAAGCGAAGCTAATTTGCATTAACTTTACGTTTAATTCGAATTAAACTCTCCGTGTGAACAGGGCATAAACTGGTCCATAGTTAGAACATCACAGAAAAATCTTTCTTAAAAAGAGGAAGTACATTTGCTACATTATAATTGAGTAAGTATTAAAGGATAAAATCGCGAAGACAATATAATTCATCTAAAAAATTAGTCGTACATACAAAACATCTTGAATTTTATTCGAGTTTGCATGCTTGATACATCTTAAATCGAGATCGGAGGAGTTTACTGGGGTTTCATGCGTTTTCAAGAACTCTATGTTGTACAGAGGGTTAAACGGAGTCTTAAGATAAATAATATGTAAATGAAATTCATCTAGACGAAAATTGTACAAATATTACAGTAACATTGCTATGACTGTTACATTTCATCTTCAAATAAACTTACAATAGTTTGTTCTGTATCTTTTGAATTTAAAGTTTTTTCTAAACAGATATGGATGTTGATCTATCATTTACAGTTTTATGATCTTCACTATTCCATAGTGACCTTCAGCAACGAGCAAATTATCACTATTGTCTGTGCTTAGATAAAACGGAGCTTGTAATTTACAATTTGAAATGATGAAGAGGAACTTTCCGTCCTGATCAATGATATGTATAACACGATTGATTTGGTCAGCTATCAAAATATGGCACATGCGGTTTGTAGCTAAAGTACGTGGTGTAAATTTTGCATAACTCTTTGACTGGAGATTTCCATCATAGCTGAATCTAAATCTGCCATTCTTATCGACAATGACCACCTTTCCTACATCATAGTCACTCACTATGATATCAAAGTTTTTGTTTTCTTCGATACAGAATGGAGTACTGTATAGAGCTTTTCCTTCACTGTTATTTTGTATATCTTGTGTAGCTGTACTGTCAACATAACGGACTACTTTACTTTGTCCGCTGTTAGAAGATTTCATAGCAACAAGTAAACCTTCTGTGGAGGATGAGCATAGGGCCAGTGGTGTCCACTCCTGAAGAAAAATTGGACACCCTATTTCGCCTCTCTTCATCATTATATTTATGTATTTAGACAGATTGTCAATATACACTAAATATCCCTCTTTGGTTACTGCCAGGTCATATAGATCGGTTCCTGACATTGTGGGAATCTTATCCAGCAACTTCCCATCTGTGTTCATTTGTTTGATGAAAGGATTGTCACCCATGATATAGAACTGGTTTTTATTTGGAATACACTTTACTCTATATGTTTCGTTATAACCGGTAGGCACAGTTCCTATTATTTCAGGATTGAATGTTCTGTCTTGTGCTGGTATAATAGATTCGATTGTAATTGGTATATCAGCAATCATTGGCAAAATTGTTTTTTTTGCATGTTCAATTTGCTTAAAATGTGGCACTTTTTGATCGGACAGAGAAGAATTACAAACTTGCATTTTACAATTTTCAACCTGATGGAATTTGCACATGGCTGGTACGTTTTTTGAATCTTTATATGCAAAAGACACGACTTCATGTTTGATTTTTGAATTGGAAACGACATGATGACCCACACAATCTGTACAGAGATTGAGATGACAGGAGTTGCAATTGGTTTGGGCTGCAGTTTTCCTGTATTTTCCAACACAAAGCTGGCATCGTTTTAGATCTTGTGCCCTAGCAAATGGATCTTTGGATGTGGCCATGACCCTTAAGAAGTTTTATTTGTAATTCTAGAATAAATACGTTATTTTGTACTTAATCGAAACATAATCCTACTACAAACAAATTTATATTACAGAAAAAAAAGTTTCATTAGAAATCATGATATGATATTATTTTAATTTCTTACCCTCTGGCGATTTTATGTCAAAACAAATATGGCTGCACAGTTGCACTTTTAAGATACCACAGGTTCCAAACATACATGCATTTTGCATATGAAAATACTTTTTCAGTCCGAGACATTTAAAATCCATATTTAGAAATCCTCACACAATGCACCAATTTAAAGAGCAGGTAGAAAATCTACCCACAAGTAAAAGACATGAGGAATAGACACGCTTTTCCTCTCGTTCAATATTTATTAAAACTGCATTTAAAGTACTAAATAATGATGTAACAAGGTAAATAATATAAAAATGATTGATTTGTTTATTTCTGTGTACACGGTTTTTAGCAATATTTTTCAGAAAACAATATTTTTCTAGTTCCTCTAAGGTGATCTTTTATTAACTTAACGAATCAAGACCAGTAAGAATTATCAACTACAGTAACAATCAATGTAGTCAAACATTTGTGATGTTCTGCACTTTTTTGAGAACTAATTAAGAAAAACATCAAATCTCGTTAATATATAGAGAATAATACATACCCTTTTCCATATCACATCCTGTATCAGCCCGAGACACCAATATCAGCCAGAGGGCCGAGGCCCGAGGGCTGATATTGGTCGAGGGCTGATACATATATATTATCATAACAGTAACTTGATCCGAAGGGTCGTATCACGTCGAGTTGACAGGCGCGGATCATCAGATCAAACGAGACGCGAAGCGGCGAGTTTGATCTGATGATCCGCGCCCGTCAACGAGACGTGATACGGCTCTTCGGATCAAGTTACTGATATAATGATAAATTTATTATATACCCCCTTATAACTGGCTAAATATATTAAAATAAACCTTTAGAGATAAATTGGATAATATTAATCCATTAAACAAAGCATAATAACAAGGGACTTTTTAACGCGCAAGAAAAATAACGTCATATTTCTGCGGACTACGTCATCAGTTTCAGAGAGTGGTGATATGGATTCAGAAAACAACATGTTGGTGATCCGGAAAATCGGATCACGACGTCACGTGATGGCGTAAATTCAACAGTAAAATTGGGTGATACACATTAGGTATATAATAAAGGATGTGATGTGGAAAAGGGTATGTTTTATTATATTTATTACATACTTGGTAATAAAATACAGCATGCATTAAGTTGAGAAGAAAATAAGTTAGTAACCATGCAAGGACTTCTTACATACATGTACATGGTCTATTGTCTCATACAATTTGGGTTTGTTTCTACTTCTATTTCACTGCATTCGATCCGTAATTTGAAAATAATCTATTACATGTATTTGTAAATTAAGATTAACCTTATTTTCAAAAAGTTAAAATTAAGAGAATATGAACACACCAAAAATTGTGTATGATCACAAGTACTGTTTTTGTAGCTTAATTTACTAAGGGTGTGATATTGACGTCACAACAGCCGTATCAGCCCTGCAGGGCTGATATGGATTTGCAGGGCTGCTATAGGTTATCAGCCCCGCAAATCCATATCAGCCCTGCAGGGCTGATACGGCTATTGTGACGTCAGCCATATCGCATATGCAAAAAACCTGTATTTATTACCAAGTGTGTAACAGGGCTGATATGGATTTGCCGGGCTAATAACCTATATCAGCCCTGCAGGGCTGATACGGCTATTGTGACGTCAATATCACACCCTTAGTAAATTAAACCACAAAAAAGAGTACTTGTGATCATACACAATTTTTGGTGGGTTCATATTCTCTTAATTTTAACTTTTTGAAAATAAGGTTAATCTTAATTTACAAATACATGTAATAGATTATTTTCAAAGTACGGATCGAGTGCAGAAGTAGAAAAAAACCCAAATCGCATGAGACAATAGACCATGTACATGTATATGTAAGAAGTCCATTCAAGATGAAATCGCAAGCACTTATAATTGGCATATTTTGACGACCTAATTCATATATACATGACAACGTTTGCAAATGGAGCCAATGTGCTCTGAAGTCGTCATGACAACGAGGATTGTGGGAGTCTTTAGCAAGAGAGATAACTATATTTCACAACAGGCAGTCTCCAGCAGTCAGTTCACTCACAACTCTGGTGTTTATTACTGGGGTATTATTTAATGAAGTAAATACAAATAGCAGTATTAGGTAAAATTTATTTATGACCATTGAACGAACATGACGAATGAAATCAAAAATTTATTCTAGATCCAACGTTTCCTATAAATCATTTTTAGATTTATTCATTGAAACGAAATAATAATTTTATATTTATACTCTGTTTATTATAATCTGTGCCATTAAAAACATAATTGACATCAAAATCAAAAAAATCCTGGTTATATACGAGGAAAGAGGGATATTTTACATAGAACATAAATTAATTAATAACAAAATATAAATAGAATGGTGATACATTTAAATTATTAACTTCGACACTACACCATAAAATTTCATATTATATAACTCGAAACACGTTATTTGAAATATTATTATGTTCATTTATCATCTAAACACATTCAGATGTTGATCTTTCATTCAAACAGCTTCATTAGCTTTACTTTTCTAGAGACACGTTCAGCAACGAACAAATTATCATTGCTGTCTGTGCTGAGATATATATGGATCTTGAAATTCTTTGTTTGCAATGTACAATTTTTAGTTTGTGGTGAAAATTACAGTAAAGAAAGAGCTAATTCTAACACATGACGCTACACAATATTTTCACAGTAACATGTTAAATACTCCACTTATTTATGGTAATAGTTCACTCCTGTGAGTATATTTGTATCTAGTATGGGAGAGATGCAAATCTGTATACTCACGTGCAAAAGCAATTATTGCTTTTGAAGAGGCTCATCTACGGTGTCTCTTGATGGAACCTAAGTCTTCTACAGATGATGGATATCTTTTTCTATTATTCTTTAATTCACCAACTACTGTTTATTATTAAACCCGCCGCTTGAAAAGTGGGAGGGTGTATATTAATCGGAATGTCCGTCCGTACGCCTCTCTCTACGTCCGTCCGTCTGTTACGCTTAGGGGTACCCATCTCTTATCCATAACTCCTCTTTGACCACTAGATGAAATTTTAGGAAACTTTAACATAATCTCTGATGTTTTAGAGGTCCATGTTTGCTCTGCTCCTATTTTATATTGTCTTATAGACTTTTGATCTTGAATTCTGTTCGTCATCTCCATATGTTTCATTACTTAGTGCCATTTAATTTTTGATCCGTCTCATATTTTTGATTTCCTAGGGCAAAACATGGAGACATCCATTCTATCTATAATACTAGTATTGAAGTGTACCCATTTCTTATCTGCAACTCCTTCTATACCACTGAAGAAAATTTAATGATACTTTGACATATTCCTTTTGACATAACTTCATTGTGCGAGGGTATTTTTTACTTTTTGATCTGATACTTGTCTCCCAGATCAAAACTTGGACTTTGCCATTATAGCCCTATGGAAGGCGGGGTGTCATTTAGTGAGCTCATTGCTCACAGCACCTTTTCTTGTTTTATATTTCAAGATCATGATTTTTAATCAGATGCTTGATTTGATTAAAAAAATATTATGTTAAATGGTGATTGATGATCATTATGTAGTTTAATTGCTTAATATAAATTAAAGATTTCTCTTCTTTTTATATGGATCATTCTAATGATAATAATGATTACTAAAGGTACTGTTAGCAGTGAGATAACTAAATGATACACCCCCCCCTCCCCGCCACGCATATAATTATAAATTGCAAAGTAATTGTTTTGTTTTGTGAAACCAGAAATAAGTGTCAGATCAAAAAGTAAACTAAAGGTGCACACTGACATTATACAATAAAGGATTTATGAAAGAATCATTACATTTTAATCAGTTGTATAGGAGGAGTTGCCGATAAAAGTTGGGCACCCTTCAATATTATAGAAAGAATGACTGTTTTGCTATGGGAAACCCAAAATATGTGTCTGATCATAAAGTAAAATAGGATGTGCACAATGGCAATATGTAACAAAGATTCTGTGAAAGTCTCATTAAATTTCATTCAGTGATATAAGAGGAGTTGCAGATAAGAGATGTTTACCCCAAAGTGTAACAGATGGACGGACGGCCAGAATACGTACAGCTAGACGGACGGACGGACATTCCGATTACTATATAAATGTACGCTTCCGCTTTTCAAGTAGAGATACCGATGTCTGTCCGTCTGTTCTTATTTTGTAATGTTTAATAGACTTTTGAGCTCGAATACTGTTCGTTATCTCCACTTGAAAAGTGGGAGGGTATATACATGTAGTAATCGGAATGTCCGTCCGTCTGCCTGTACGTATTCTGGCCGTCCGTCCATCTGTTACCCTTTGGGGTACACATCTTTTATCCACAACTCCTCTCATACCA